TTTAAAGTGTTAAAGAGCAAAGATGTCAGCTTGAGGACTAAGGTGTACTTGACCCAAGCCATGGTATTTTCAGTAACCTCATATGTATGCGAAAGCTGGTCAGTGAGTAAGGAAGACCGTTGAACTTATGCATTTGAATTATGGTGTTCAAGGAGAATATTGAAAGTACCACGGGCTGCCAAAAGAACAAATAGATCTGTGTTGGAATTAGTATGGCCAGAGTGTTCCTTGGAGGGCAGGCTGGCCAGATTTCGTCTCTCATACTTCGGACATATTGTCAGAAGGGACCAGTGGCTAGAGCTGGATATTATGTTTGGTAAGATGGAGGTCAGAGAAAAAGAAGAAGACTCCTAGTGAGATGGATTGGCAAAGCAGCAGCATCAATGGGCTCAAGAGTGGCGACAATTGTGTGGTTAGCCCAGGACCAGGCAGTGTTTCACTTTGTTGTGTACAAGGTCGCTATGAGTCGGTACTGACCAGATAGCACCTAACAACAACATCAACAACAATATGTTCTTGTTGTTAAGTGCCATCAAGTCAGTTCCAACTCATAATCATATTGTATAGCATTTAAAATGAGCGGGTGGTGAGTTTGAACCACTGAACAAGGTAATTTAAACCAACCTTGTAGTCCGTGCTTATCCTACAGTGCCACACCAGGAGTAGCTAATATAAAGGATATAAAATAGGACATGGTCAGTCTTTGACCTTATGATTGTATACCACAATGTTTATTAAAAAAAAAACAAAAACCAAAATCCAAGGGAATCCAGATATTTCCAAATAAAAACTGGAAAAAGCTTTCCAGCTCCCCGCAAGAGAGCCTGCATAATACCTGTACAGGATGGTGCTTCGGATTGGCAAGAGGGAGTCATAAATGGTCACGGAGTCTGTGATACAGTTGTCTGCTTCAATCTGGAGAGACTCAATGGAGAGACGAATCAGATAGCCTACCAGGGCCACCAGCTTAAACTGGCACATCAGCCTCCCTGAAGTTGCCGAAATCTCCAGAGGATATTGAAGAGACAGATGGTCTGCATAGAAGTCCTGAGAGCAGCCTTTGTCTATGAAAACAGAAAGATTTTTCTTTGTAAAAGAATGACTTCTCTAGAAATGTTTATTGAAAAAATATAGAGCAAAAGAAGCCATATGGGGAACATCTGCTGTCTTTGCCAGCCTAGAGTTCACTCTGCCCTTTTCTGGTAACAGCAACTGAATTTTACTTCGAGAAACTATCACTACCCTACTCTACTTGCTATGGTTTCTCTCAGAGAAAGTAAGCTCACCCCTCCTATCAGAGATAGGCACACGGTCCAGACTCAACAATTAGAGAAAAAGAAATGAACTAGGGAATGGTCATGCACCCAACTGGGGACAATGACCTCTGCCCCAGAACTTCTGCAGGAATTATCAGGGAGTATGAGAGTTATATTATTGGTTTTTGGGCTTCCCCCCACCCCACCCCCACCTGATAGTAAGTCCATCATGGAAGAGACGTGAAGTGCAGATGCAGTGTCCAGATGCTGTTATTTTAGGTTCTGGACTCATCTATACCACTTAATATGAGGGGCTTCAAAAACATTCGTGGACAAATTCCATTATATTTTCATTATGTTTTTCCACAAACGTTTTGAGTAATGCCATAGTCTACATGAGTCAATCAAGCTTATTTTGTGCTTAAACAGGTTTGAGTGTATTTTTATCTCTTGCAACTAAAAGAATGCTAACAAATACCATTGTGATTTTAAAGGAAAGCTACAGCTAAAAAGAATACTGAGTTGGGGGGAGGACTGTATGAAATAAATTACCAGATCCTATGGCTGAAGAGTAATCTGACCGAAGCCCAGCTGCATTGAAGGAAAAAAACAAACAAACAAAAAAAAAAACATAGAAAAGAGTCTATTAGTGCCAGCATCTCATTTTGTTAGAATTTTGCTTAGTGAAAATTATTTTCAGTCCTTCTTTAAAAGCAATCAAACACGAATTGAGTTTACTTCAAAATAATCCAATGTGGGCAGGAGCAGGTTGTTTGGAAGGTAGAGATCAACAACTATAAACTCTTGACGGCCAGGAGGTGACAGGTGTTGAAGGTGGGTGATGTGCACACAGTAGCTTATTTTATTGTTTTCTCTACTTTTATGGTGTTGGCTGAGGGTTCCAACTCATAGAGACCCTGTACAGGGTTTCTGAGGCTGTAAATCTTTACAAGAGCAGAACGCCTCATCTTTCTCCCGCTGAACAGCTGGTAGTTTCGAACTGCTGACCTTGCGGTTCACAGTCCAATTCATAACCACTACGCTACCAGGGCTCTACTTTTACATATGCTGGAAGTCATCTGTAAAGACAAGTTGTTGTTGTTTTGTTAATTTTAAAGAAAAAGAAACAATCAGACAAATTTGATAATTAGTTCTATATCTGAAACAGCAAATTAGATGCAGAATTTTCCACCAGAAGTTTTTCATTCATTAATTAACAAATACTTCTCAACCACATGCTATATGATTGTTCTGACTAACAAAGACCCTGCATAGGGTTTCTGAAGAGTGGCTGGTGGGTTTCAATTACTGACCTTACAGTTACCAATCCAGTGCTTACCCTACAGCACCAATTCATACATGTATACTTTAAATCAAAAGATATGTTGTTAAGTGCCATTGAGTCGGTTCTGGTTTATAGAGATCCTGTATAGGGTTTCCAAGGATTAACTGGTGAGTTTGAACCACCAACCTACGGTCCCAGTGCTTCTCCTACAGCACCAACCAGGACTCTATAATAAAGGTTAAAAAAAACTGCTTAAATTTTGCACTACATAATGTTTAAAGCAACCCTCTGACAAGGCAAATGATGTAATTTGCAGTTTGTCAGGATTTGGGGCAGCCTGTTTTGGCTGCAGTTCTACCTTGAAGAGGGAGGAAACAAGATAAACCTCAGCAAGCATCTTTTCTCTAGGGTGCTAGAACTGTGCTCTTCAGAGTCTTCTAGAGGAAAAAGACTCACAAAATTTTAGAAAAGGGAACATTTCAAGATTCAATTTGATATATGCTTTGTCCCCAATTCTACCCCAGTTCAATGACTGTAATAAATTTCTCTACAAATTTCCTTTACAAACATAGCTCCAATTCAGCTAGTCCTGTTCCACTGGTATTAGGGCTAATGACGATAATGACAAATAGTAAGACTGCTGCAGGAAGAAACGCTTAAAGGAGAACTATCCAACAATCACCATTTAATACCACGGAGTCCATGTCCACAGCCAGGCCATGCAAGCTCCCTACAGAGGTCCGGTTAATAATGCTGATCTGGATGGAGTCCTTTAAGATGGCAGCCACGCAGTCCTCACAGAAGATATGGCCTTTGGCATGTGGCATGACAAACACAAGCCAAAAGTGGATCAGGAGGCCACCCTTGTTGTTGCTGCTACAGTGAAAAGAAAGAAAGAAAGAAAGATGTTCAGGGATACCTCTTAGGAAGTAGACTTTGACAAGCAGACAGTAAGTCAACTGCCATGTCCAAGGTAGGCCAATGAGTAAGTACATCCTTCCAGTTGGCTCTACCTCCCTTCTTTAGGAGTTAGAAGCAAGAAGCATCATGTTGTGTATATTCTGGTTATTGTGTAGGGTTCATATCTAAACCTTTACTCTATAGTTGTACCTCCATTGAGAATATATTATTTCAGTTTTCATCTTGTCTAGACGGGTCTGATGAAAGGAGATGGGGATAAGATTCTTATGATTCAATAGTGAGTAATTGTTATCATGACTAATTGTGATTTGTCACAACTGTAAAGGTAGAAGTTTTGTAATAATAAGCAGGGAGTAGTTAATCTTACAGTCCAGGAACAAGAGACCCTAGGACCATCAAGGGAGAAGAGCATGAGTGGAATGTGGGACCCTATCCAGAGAAGCAATGACACCAGAGATGGAGGCAGAGATGATGACATGGAGAGAGGGATTAGCCAAGGACTCTAGACTCACGGAAAGAGAAAGGCTGTATGCTGTCGGCCAGGAGGCAGGCTTGCAGAATGTGCCCTTTGGTTGTTTAAATTATTATATATTCCTGAGTGTTTTTGTGTACATTCAAAAAAGGGAATAGAAGCAAATACTGTTGAATGATGATGCATAGAGGGGATTGTAATCATTGCAATGAAATGAAATATGATAGGATGAATGTAAAACTGATATTCTTCCATGTAAACTATCACTCAATTAAAAAAAAAAACCACACACACACAAAAAAAACTTAAAAAACAACAACAACTTTGCAGTCCAGTGCATTAACCCACAGAGTCATACTCGGACTCCATAGAGGCCAGTAAATGTTAGAAATAGGAGTCGTTGCAATGGATAATTTGCATTTGTTGACTCACACAAGCATTTTATCAGTCACTTGCATGGTGATCTCTGATTGTCTGGACCATCATAAGTATCCAAGATTCCATGAGAAAAACAAGTATTCCGTGTTCTTAATCAAAGCTCAATAAATAACCAAGCTACCAGCACCAATGCATTTTCAAGTGACAACAGTCATTGGAATGGTCAGCGTTTTAGGTCTATGAACAGCTATTCTGAACGCTACATGGGTTATCACATGATGAAACATCATTTTCCTGCACTTTTCTAGCCAACTGCACTGTATTTATTTTGAGCCCAAGAAAATATGTATTTGTGAACTTATTATTGGCTTTGATCTCTGGACTAGTTGAGATAAGCAGTTTTCACCTCAGGGACCAATCTAGGCACTAGATTATGGACGGTACCATATCACCCCAAAATCAAGGATCAAACTTGGAATCATGGAATGACTGTGAAAACCAAATGTCACAGAAGGACCTTAGCAAACATCCATTGCCATTCTGTGCAGCTTATGAGAGGGAGTTTTGAATAGTCAAAATGTATCCTCTTCTTTGAGAATAGCTTCTGGGCATTTCCCTGTTAAAAGGGGGCAGAGTGTGTCCCTATCATTGTAAACAACATTTCCCCATTTGAATTATCTTCTTGGCTTCCTCAAGAAAGTCGTTTTGTATACACACACACACAAAGAAGACACAATTTCTTTCAGCCAATATTCACTGTCAGCCAATATTCACTGTTATTACAAACATCAACAGTTATTCTTTCTGAAACCCCAGCTATCCAGACACTATGATACATCTTTAGATCCCATTTAATCTTGTGGGATAAGGTTATCCCAGAAGTTCCTGTTGAGTTGCTTTTGACTCATGATGGCCTCATGTGTGTCAGAGTAGAACTGTGTTCCATAGGATTTTCAATGGATGATTTTTTTAGAAGTAGGTAACCAAGTTTTTCTTTCCGGGTGAACTCAAACTTTCAACATTTCAGTTAGCAGCTTAATTAGTGCCAGTCATTTGTACCACTCAGTAACTACTATATGGAAAGAGTGCTATACTACGCCAAATTTGCAGGAAATTGAAACCAAATAAAACTCAAAATCACACAGCTAGGAAGTAGCAAACCCAGAATTGAAACTCAATGTTTTCCAGTCTGATTCCAGAGCCGGAAATCCTAAACACATAAACACTGTCACATTTAATGAAAGGTAGTGTTCTGTAGTAAAGAATTCGGGAAATAGGAAGTTTAGGAAAGCAAGCAAGTTACTTTACTTCAAGACTTGAAGATTCCAGTGGCTTTAATATGCCAAAGTAGATTGAGAACCTCTGAAGATGTACGGGAGGAGGGAAATGTCAGATAAGAGTATACATGGCAGAAGTTTTCCTAAACATTATTTGACCATGAGATCTTTTTCCTTCCCCTTCAGAGGATCTCTAGTGACTAGTTTTTCACTGAACATATTTTGTGAAATATTGGTCTGTGCTTTGTGTGTTCCCTTTGCAATTCCGTCTGATATAGCAGCCACAATTACAGCTATTTTGTTTAGTGGCCTTAATATGGGGTCCAAAATTCCAGCATGAGGGCAGAGTAGAGATTTGGGTAGGTAACAGTAACACCTCAGGGTGGCAGGAGGGCAGAGATTTGGGAAACGAATTGTTTTATAATCCAAGTTGTGTTATTAACCCACAACCACCCCTAAGGAATTCTTTGAGAATGGTGGAATTTCAGCCCTTCCATAACCTTGAGAGGAGTGTACAGCAGTAAAAGTAGACATACCAAAGCATAAATTACCTAACATCGGCAACCACAGATTGCTTGTAAAATTTGGAGAAGGCAGATGTAGTATAAACAAAGTTTACCTAAAAAAACAAACAAACAAGAAGAAGACTTGAGGTGTTCGCAGTACCTTGTATGTTGTTGCTCAAAACCCTGACAACTAACAAATATAAAAATAGTCTCAAACAAAAACTTCAAACCTAGACTGTATTTCTGGAATTCAAATAAATTCTTACTTTCATACAAACTGCTTTCTGTGAAGAATAGCCTGTTACCCTCATTGACATATTAATCTCTAAAAAAAAACCCTAAATAAACATAACCTGTGTGCTTCCTATGCCAGAGGTTCATTTTCTCCGCAACTCTGCACAAAGTTCTTGAAGCCCATTTTCATAGTATTTGACCCAGACTTTTAAATAAATCAACATTCATAAAACCAAACTCACCTCATCAAGTAGATTCTGATCCTATATAATGATCCTATATAGAGTTTATGAAACCAAATTTTTACAAGAGCACATAACCTCATGTTTCTCCAGAGGAGCTGCTGGTGGATTTGAACTGCCAACCTTGTGATTAACAACTCCGAGCTTATCCTATAGCGCCACCAAGCTTCTTAAAAGCATCCTTAAACAAACCAAACCTACCATTGAGTTGATTTGATTCACAGAGACCCTATATATAGTTTTCTGAGACTGTAAAGCTTTACAGAGCAGCTGGTGGGTTTGAACTATTGAATTTGCAGTGAGCAGTCCAGTGCTTATCCTACAGCACCACTAGAAGAGCGTGTATGTTGTTGTTATGTGTCACTGAGTCAGTTCTGACTCATAGCTACCCTATATAGGGCCCTCAAGGGGAAGCTGGTGGGTTTGAACCACTGACCTAGTGGATATGCAGTCCAGGGCTTATCCTACGGCACCACACCAGTACTCCAAAGTGACTTTTTATTTTCTGAAGGACACATCCCTAAATTAGCCACTAGGGGGCAGGAGGTGCCCGTAGCTAATCTCCCTCCGAACTCTTCTCCAGGGAAAACAAGTATTTTTTTGTTTTTTCCCCCCAACATTTTAGCTGAAAGTCTGCACAGCAAATTAGCTTCCCATGCAATAACTCATACACAAATTGTTCCGTGACATTGGTTGCTATCCTTGGCAATGCCTCAGCACTCTCCCCATTTCTACCCTACCTTCCATGTTTCCATCCCTCCAGGTTTCCTGGCCCACCCTGCTGTCTCATCTCTACTTTTAGGGAAATATTGCCAATTTTGTCTCCTTGATTATTCTAAGGAGCACATTCCTCATGGGCGTTATTGTTCATTTTATAAGCCATTCTTTTACTTGGTAGAAAGGTGACCGCTAGGAATGGCTTCAATTTCAGATTAAAAGTGAAGTTTTAGGGTGATCGTCTCCAGTCTCTTTCAGTCCAGTAAGTCTGACCTCTTTTTTCTTTTTCTTTTTTTTTAATTCTATGTTTTTCTCACATTCTAATAATTCTAAGCAGGAACTTCTATTGTATCACAATAGGTCCGAATGGTCAGTAGTGGTAGCTGTACATTATTAGGGTCTCAGGCAGAAGAAGTCTGTGGGCCATTAGTCCTGTGAACCCACTGATTCTTTTTTTTTTTTTTTTCTGTATATTTTAGTCCTTTTATTTTTGTCAGTTTATTTTATTGTGCAGCATAAGGTCTATTTTTATTAACATAACATTTGCATATGAAAAGACCATGCACTCAGTAGTTGTTAGATATAGTGTCTATATGCATCCTTTAGACCAAGGCAATTAGTGGTATTTTACTCTTTTATGTTGTCTATGATTTTTTTTTTCTAGTTGCTCTTATCAATAAGAAAAGGTTGTTAAAATCTCCTAATATTGTTGCAAAAATATCTATTTCTAATTCAACTTTGCTTTATATATATTTATGCTGTTTTTAGATCACACACATTGATAATGACATCTTTTTGATGAAATCTGTCTTTTTATAAATATACCTCTTTATCCCTGATAATACCTATTTCTGTTTTCAAAGCTATATTATGTGATATTAAAATGTACATTCCAAACATTTTACACTATGTCTTTGGTACAGCCTTTTCCATCCATTTATCTTAAATATATGAGGCTTTCTACTCCCGTAAAGATTTACACCCCTTGGAAACCCTGTACAGGGTCGCTATGGGTCGGAACCGACTCGATGGCACTTAACAACAACAACATTTACATTTAAAGTGTATCTCTTACAAGTGGCATATAGTATATCCATTTGATAATTTTTGCCTTTTAGTTGGGGTGTTTAGACCTTTAATATTTAACATAACTTTTGCTATCATTGTATAGCCACTGCATTATTTATTATTAGTTCTGTTTGTCCCTATTGTTACTGTTGTTCCTCTTTTCCTGTCATTTCTAATGCTCTTCATTTGCTTCTGAGGATCCAAGTTTTCTGCTGATATAATTTCCTTTTCACTTGAAGAACATCCATTAGAGTTTCTTGTAGTTCAGGTCTCTGATGATTTCATCAGTGCTGGCTGGGGGTAAAGCCACTATCTGCCACAATCTGTAGCATCCTTGCCAGGTTGGGAGGGTCTGTGGAGAAGTTATAACTACCGGGTTTGACTGTCATAGCTCAGGAAAATGGTGCAGTCATTCCTCAAAGTGCAGGATAAACCTGAGATGTTTAAGAGACCCGTGGCGCCTCGCTGCCTCCCCAGGGGCAGCCCTTCAACCGTTACCACAGTCAGAGCACCACCCCGTGGCAGGGTACGTCTAGCCAGCTGCAGCTTTCAGACCCCTGCAGCGCCGCCCTGAACCCATTGATTCTTTGAATCTTTGGTTTCCTTCACTATCCTAGCATTTAGCACATTTAAAACTCATAAAGAGCTCTAGTAGCATAGTGGTTATGAATTGGGCTGTGAACCATAAGATCAGTAGTTCAAAACTACCAGCTGCTCCGTGGGAGAAATATGAGGCTTTGTGCTCCCGTAATTTTTACACCCTCAGAAACCCCTGTACAGGGTCACTATGAGTCGGAACCGACTCCACGGCACATAACACAATTTGATCTCAAGGGAACCTGGAGTGTAGTGGATTACGAGTTGGGCTGCTAACTGCAATGGCAGCAGTTCGAATCTACCAGTTGCTCCATGGGAGAGAGATGAGACTTTCTATTCCCGTTAAGATTTACAACCTCAGAAATTCTGTCTAGGGTTCCTATGAAACAGAACTGATTCCATGGCACACAACCACCACCACAACCACCACCACCAATTTGATCTCAAGGAGAGATACTTATGTGCAGTGGAGTCAGTTCCAACTCATAGCGACCCTATATAAGGTTCTCGAGGCTGTAAATCTTTACAGGGAGCAGAAACCCTCATCTTTCTCCCGTGGAACTACTGGTAGTTTAGAACTGCTGACCTTGAGATTACCAGCCCAACTCGTAACCACTATGCTACCAGAGTTCCTTGTTGTTGTGAAGTGCCATCGAGTAAGTTCCGACCCATAGCGACCCTGTCTAGGGTTTCCAAGGAGCAGCTGGTGAGCTTGAACTGCCGACCTTACAGTTCAAACGGCTTTGCAGTCCAGCGCATTAACCCACAGAGCCACACCAGGGCTCCTTGTGGCTCCTTAATTAACATTTCTAAATCTAAACTCACTCTCTTCTCTCAAATCTTCTCTTCCTGTATTCCCCTTCCTACATAACAGCAAAACAACCCCCAAACTTTCCGGGGGGAGGGGAGGGAGGGGAAACCTTTGAAATAATATTGATTGGTTGGTTGTGTGCTTTCGTTCAGACTCACAGGGACCTGTATATGGTTTCCGAGGAATGATTTGAGGGTTTGAACCGCAAACTTGCGAGGGGTTGGTTGTGGCTGTTATTGTTAAGTGCCGCCGAGTCAGTTCCGACCCATAGCGACCCTATATTGGGTTTCCAAACAGCAACTGGTGAGCTTGAACTGACGACTTGCAATTCAAACGGCTTTGCGAGGGGTTGATAGCTACTAAAAATATATTTTTAGAGAACTTACTTGCATAGAGACGTACAATATAATGTTAACAGGAAAGATCATATTATAGAACTGAATATACGTTAATACTCCTACTTTCCACTCTTCCTTATGTTCATGTGGTCCAGACCATAAAAATTCTTCCTCTGGTGATGAAATTGAAGATTTCAATGTTCTTTTTATACTTTGTTGAATTAAAAAAATTTTTTTGCGATAAATAATAGGACTTCTGGTGTGGCAATGGACTGTGAATCACAAGGTTAGTGGTTTCAAACCCACCAGCTGCTTCTAGGAAACCCTATACAGACAGAGTCACTATGAATTGGAATCAACTTGATGTCACTTAACAACAACAACTTCTATATGAGAAAGTTTTTGGGGTTTTTTTTAAGTGAAGAGAGCATCAACTTGTTAAGGTTGAATGAATGTGTAGAGCTTACAGAATTCATCAGTGGCATGTAATTTCAGAACTAAAAGATATTTAAAGTTCTCCTGATTCATTCCTTTATTTTGCAGACAACTACAAAAAAAACCTGAATTCCAGAAAGTCATTTAGTTTTACTTTAGTCAGGAAAAGAAGTGATTTCTATTAAATAAGAAATTCTGTCTTACTGCAGTGAGCTGAATCCGCGCGTTTCCCTCTATCCTTTAGTTCTCCAAGTTCAATACACCAGTGGGTGGCACTGGAGATCCCTCCGCCCCGCTCCGCCCCCTCCGTCCCCTCCGCTCCCCCCGCCCCGGCCCCGCCCTGTAGTCTTCCACTGCCCCCACGGGTCACCTCACCACTTGCTGCACAGTCCGTGACACTGAAAGGAATTCTCTGGACTCTTTCTGTCGATGTTCCGGAAGAAACTCAATGTTGGTGATGCGGAACATCCCAACGAAGTAAAAAGCATCTTTACTTTCTGTCTTACCTGCAAGATCCGAGAGAAAGCAATTGGAACCATCCATATTCAAGCCCCTAAAATGATTTTATTTTAGGCACCTACGTATTTTACTGGTTCATAGCATCTGAGGTGCCAGCCAAAAGCCTGTTGCCATTAAGTCGATTCCAATTCACAGAGATCTTATAGAACAGAAAACTGCCTTATAGCGTTTTCAAGGCTGTAAATCTTTACAGAGGCAGACAGCCACATATTTTTCCCATGGAGTGTCAGGTAGGTTCAAACTGCCAACCTTAAGTTAGCTGCCAAATGCTTAACCGCTGAATTACAGGGGTTCCTTCTGTGAAGCATCTCTTCCATGAGCAGTAAATAACCATATCTCAGACTACGATTCTTTCTTTTTCAGTCAAATATTTAGAGCAAGATTAAAAGAAAAAAGATACTCCTCTTTGTCTATGTTCTAGAAGTGTTAAGGAGCCAAGAACAGCATATACTCTTTTACTGGATCCCAAGTCTATGAGAGGCAAGGAGGCAAGGAACATATGCAATCTAGTTCTGTGGCAAAATTTGTCCAAGGACAGGAGATGGAAGGGTTACCAGGTGACCTTCACTGAGGTCCTGTGGCTTCCATCCCCATTATGATTTGTGTGGGTGATGCCCAGGGTGCTGAGCCATCTGTGCAGTGCGTGGAGAATTAATCCTTCCAATGAGTCACTAAGTCTGACTCGGGGACTCTTCCCAGTGAGCACTAGGGAAGCCTGCCCAGAGACTTTTCAGAAAGAGGAACACAAACACTCCCCTCCACCTACACCATGAATCACCTTAAGGCACCTGAGAAACAGGAAAATCTTTGTATGGTGATAGGGGCTTTCCTTACTCCCTTTCCTTTGTGTTACCAATATTCTACTCCTCTCTAGCACCACCTCCTGCAAATGGTTAACCAAAAAATTAAAGGTTCAAACCCACCCAGAGGTAACTTGGAAGAAAGTTCCTGGTAATCGATTTCAGAAAAATCAGCCATCAAAAAGCCTATGGAAAACAGTTCTATTCTGACACACATGAGTTGAATTTAAGTTGCTGGTAAACTGTTTTTGTTGGCACCAACCCCAAGCCTCCATGGCCCTAATGCATTCCTTTCCTAAAGCTTGTACCCCACTGTGTTGTTGTTGTTAAGTGCCATTGAGTCCATTCCAACTCATGGTGACGCTATGTAGAGTTTCTGAGGAGTGGCTGGTGGGTTTGAACTGCCCCCCTTGAGGATAGCAGTCCAATGCTCATCTTACAGCACCACACCAGGACCCCAACATGCTGGTGGTGGACCCCACTTTGGATGATGGTGTGCTCCCGAGTCGGTTCTGACTCATAGCAGCCCTGTATAGTGTTTCTGAGGCTGTAAATATTTATGAACGCAGAAAGCCTCATCTTTCTCCTGTGGAGCAGCTGGTAGATTCTAATTGTTGACCTTGCAGCTAGTAACCACAACAGCACTCTTTAAAAATCGAATGAAAGCTATGACTCTCTCTAGAAGCTAGCACATTCTTCTCACATTTGTAAGTGCTCAAGAGCTAGAGCATAAATCAATTTAGCATTGAATCAGATTACATTTAGCGAACTCTAGCCCAGCCCAGCACAAAACACTATCCTGCGGTCTCCCTGGTTAGTTGCCCACTTCATTTCTCAAGGCCACCATTCCCACACAAATTTGACGTGTCAAAACTAACCTCCCCTCTTTGTTGAACAATTCTTGCTTACTTATGGCAATTTCCCTTTGTTCTTATGGATCGCTCCCTGATTTTCACACTTGCCAACAAATTTATTTCTGCACACTGAAGTTACAAAACTTTACACACAAATGTTGTTGTTGAGTACCATCTAGTTGGTTCCGACTCATAGCAATCCTGTATAGGCTTTCCAAGGAGTGGCTAGTGAGCTTGAACCACTGACGTTGCAGTTCAAACCAACCTTACAGTCCAGCACATTAACCTACAGCACCACACCAATACAGCTATCACTTGAGGGGTAGCAGAGAGCTGATGAAACATAACTTGGTTTGTTTTGGGTTGCAGTTGTATGTGGGTGTTTTGTGTTTGTGTGTGTGTTGTCTTTAATTGTTCATTGTCTTACTTGTCCCACTAGTCCATAAATTCACTGAGTACAGACTTTGCATCATGGTCACCATATCTACCCCCAACACAGAAGTGTCTAATATATTTTGAGGAACCAGCTTAAAGCCTTCTCTGAACTCCATTCCTAGGCAAGGTGATGGCAAAGTATTGCCTCAAGCAAAGAAATCACCTCATTGCCTTTCTTTAGCACTGAATTGTGAGTTCTTTGAAGATAGGAACTACGTCTTACTCATCATAGTATGCCCATCACCTTACATGTGCCAAGAAAACAATAGGTGGTCAGTTCCTTTGTAAGTGGCCTGAAAATTTCAAGACAATACCTATTAATTTTTTGCCTATAAATCTTGCCTCCAAATAGATTTTAGTATCTTTGGGAGTACACATGAGGAGTTACAGTAGCACAGTTGTTAAGCACTCAGCTGCTAACGAAGACAAGATGTTGGCAGGTCAAATCTACCAGCTACTCCACAGGAGAAAGATACAACAGTCTGCTTCTGTAAAGGTTGTTGGTGCTGCTCTTAAGTGCTGCTGAGTTGGCTCAGATTTATAGCAACCCTATATAGGGTTTCCAAGGCGCTGGTGGGTTTGAACGAACCACCAACCTTGCAGTTAGCTATCCAGTGCTTATCATACAGCTTTGAAAACCCTATGGGGCAGTTCTACTAGTGGGACAAGTAAGTCAATGGGCAATTAAAGACAAACACAAATTCGACACAATTGGCTCCACAGCAATGGGCTTGGGAGTTTGGGATTTAGAGAGTACACATATCTCGCATCAAATACATTAACCTGCACTTCCCTAAAACTGTATGGTGGAGAAGTCCTGGAGCAAGACATTATGAAGGTGAAGTAGAGAGAGTCAGTGATAAAGAGGAAGACTTCTTATGAACTGGATTGGGTTCCAACCTTGCAGCGATGGTGAAGATGGCACAATACCAGGTAGTGTTTCCTTTTGTTGTACGTAGCATTGCTACAAACCAGAACTGACTCAGTGGCACCAAACAACAACATCAACATAGGTTGGGAACACCACCGTAGGTCAACAAATGCTACTGAGTTGTATGAGCAAGTACTTTATACAAAGAGCTAATTTTGACTCCTGTCCAAAAGGTTCAATCAGAGAGGTAAAACCATAATCAAGGAGAGAGAAAAGATGCATATGCAAAGAGGAATTCAGTAACAACCTAAGTCAGAGAGCCAGAAACTTAAGGTTGCCTAGAAACAGGCAGTGGGTGGAATGAGAAGACAGAATGACTTAGCACCCCATTCATTTTTAAAGCTATAAATGCAGTACTTCTCTGAGCCAGTCAAAAGCTCCTGACAGCCTCCACAGCTCTTCTCACGTGGCCCCCATGTTCCCTTCTCATCCTTTCCTCTAAGAAGAAAAGAAATGGTGGTAAAAGAAAAATAGAGAAAAAAAAGGAAAGATTTTTCTGGGTTATTTTCTCCCTAAACCTCAGTGCCAGCTTTGGAAATGGAATATCAGCCTGGGAAAGAGGAAGTTGCTATTCGAAACACCCAGGGCAAGCCATCATTGCTCATGCTAGACTAACCCCAAAAGGACATGATTTTAACTCACTGATGTAGAGCCACAGCAGTGTCCAGGCTATGACTGCTAGGATGAATAAAAACACTGTGAAGAGGATGATTTTGTTTTGAACGTTCCAAAAGGGAGCTTTCTTCTTAGGTAGTTTCTTCTTAAATTTGGCTTTGTTGATGGGTTTTCTTGGTGGTCGTCTCCCTGGCAGCTTCCCTGGGACATTGACCACCTGAACTGAGATATTTGATATCTTTAAATAAAAACAAAACAAGTAAACAAAAAGAGATGTACTACTAATCAGAAGTAGTCTGTTGTTGTTGTTGTTACGTGCCGTGGAGTCAGTTGTGACTCATCGAGGCTGTTGATCTTTACAAGAGCAGAATGCCTCACCTTTCTCCTGCAGAACAGCTGGTAGTTTCAAACTGCTGACCTTAAGGTTTGCAGCCCAATTCGTAACCACTACGCTACCAGAGCTCCTTAGAAGTAGTCTAGAGTTTAAATATTGCTACCTAAAGGTTTACAGTTCGAATCCTCCCAGCTGTACCACAGAAGAAAATGCCTAGCAATCTGTTTCAGTTAAGATTATAAGACAGAGCCACTGCCATGCTGCAATGAGTTTCAATGACTGGTAAGACTGAGGAATTCGCACTGACC